AGCTTTCCTAGTACAAACTTTGGAGCCATAAATGAAAATGCTTTTCTCTGTACATATAATATTTGGCACAAATTGCTTCAGATTTTTTGAGGGGGGAAACATTTTTTAATAATTAGGTAGGTCAAACCTGACTCATCAGCAGAATCACCTAGGGAGTGTTTTCCCCCCACCCCTTTTCAAGCACAGACAGATTTCCAAATCTAGCAAAATCCTTCATTTTCTTCCTCCCCCAACACCTTTTTTTTTTCCTTCCTAGATGAGTTCACTAACCTGATTCAGAACTACTCTTTTGACCTGTAGAATCCAGCCATTATCATTGTATATGCAAAATATATTTATCATGATGATTAGTACTGAAGGCACAGTTTTATATTCCCCTTTTACAGAATATTAAAATACACTACCAAGTGAGACTATGTATAAACAGTTAACTGTCTGATCACTGTAATTTTCTTTATTATATTCCATTTTAAATAGCTCCCTTGTGGATTTGAAAAACTTTGCATGTTTAGACTTGACATTTTTTATTTGTTGAAATTGTAGTTTTTCTCAGGTATGGTCATATGACACGATTTTATTAAACAGTGGTGGATTTTGTCCATCACAGCAGTACAGAAGGATTCAATTTGCTTAAAACCATAAATGAACAGTTATATAACTTAAAACTATTAACAGAGGCAAAAAATGATTGGACAGATAGTTATGTAAAATTTATTGTCCTACTTGAATATTTACTGTTTAATGTTTCAGCCTAATATCAATGTTTGAGATACAGGAGGTAATAAGTATTTATTGAAATATTTAATAAAATAGCATTATTACTTCAGGATAGGCTAAAATATTTTTTATCCTAAAATCTTATGTGCCTTTAATTCATAGAATTTCACATGCTTATTTACCGCAAAATATGCTGGGAAACACAACATACACACAGAAACTGAGCTTTTTGTTTTTTCTTTCTTGAAATAAAATAAAACTAAAATGTTTTAGATATGAAATATCTGAAATCTGACATTTATAATTGAAAAATCAGTAATAAAATATAAAAATATATTTAAAAATAAATATTTGGGATGGTCTTACTTAAATTCATATCTTCACTTTTGCATTGCATTTGAACAACAAAAGTTTTTGTAGTGACTAACAGCTAAGAGAGTGGATGTAAAAAGGAGAAGACTTGTCTTAGAGATTGTGAGGCTATTTGAGAATGCAGAATTACATAAAGTTAAGTTTGACAGAAAAAAAATTGCTGTGAAGTTAGAATGTGGAAATTGAAAAGGGCATAGATATAAAAGACAAGAAAAGTTCAGAAAATATTATGCATGGATAGGATGAAAAGTCAACTCAAATGAGAATTATTGATTTCTTCTCCTTTTCTCTTTAGAAAGGGGAGGAAGGTGTTGATACACATATAGTCAAAGAATGATTGCTGGAAAGGTTAAGGTAGAATAATATTCTGATATTGGCTCTCCCAGTAATTTAAATGTATCTTCTAAAGGTTATAGTGACCGACAGCAAAGGTTTGGAAGAGGAAGATATTTATTTGCTAGATAGAAGGTGAGGGTGTCTGAGAGAGAAGAGGAAGAGGAATATTTTCTCTGAGGAGGAAATGTTTTCTGTTAAACATTAAACCTATTAGGTATATGACATGTAGTATTAAATACAGAAAAGTGTTACATGTAATATAAAATTTCATAAAATTGTTCATTAACAAATTGTTCAAATAACAAAAGTGGAGAGACTATTATAGTTTGAATTCAGCTACATTAACCAGAGAAAATAAAAATAAAAAAAAAAAAAACAGGAAAAGACAGGCTTAGATATGTTTACCCTCATAAATTTGAGTGAGGAATGCTGAAGGAAATGTGATTGATTTGGGAAAACTGGTGTTAGTTGGCAATGTTTGGTCAGGAGAATCAGGATCATAGCAGGGTACAGGCTAAAACCCCTATTCTGACCAGCTAGCCAAAGGTTGGCCCATTGTGAAGTATACATAGTGTAATTAAGAGTATATTGTGATTAGTAATTATTAAAATATATGTAGACAAATTTCTTTCAAATGTAGCTGATGTTAAAGATTTTTTTTTTTTTCCTTTTCCAACAGGGATATAGCTAGTGCAATAAAAGAACTTCTTGATACAGTGAATAATGTCTTTAAGAAATATCAATACCAGAATCGCAGGGTAAGTTTAGTAGAAGCCTTGCTGGTTGCCATTCTAAATGTTGGTTTACATCTAGTTGTCTTATTGAATTAAATACTAAGGGGGTTTGATTATTGGAGATAGTTTTGTGTCATTAACCGTTGAGTTTATCCTTGAATTTAACTATGCTGTTTTATGTCTTTAAATACTCCAAAAATGCTTTTTTGTAATATAAAGTGCCTCCCATATTATGTATAATCTCCTGTCTTTGACTTTGGCTTTTGTATTATTTCTCTTATTTAGTATTTTTTTCTTATTATTTTTCGTGTCTATAGGCACTTGAACACCAAAAGAAAGAATTTGTAAAGTACTCCAAAAGTTTCAGTGATACTCTGAAAACATATTTTAAAGATGGCAAGTAAGTACTGTCATTTGTCCTTTTCTTTAAAAATTAGATAGATGATGTGGTTTTATATGATACTAAAATCATATAAATTAAGCGCTTTTACTCTATTGTTGGTACTCAAGGCAACTGATAACCAAAGCACACCATAAAAAATAGAAAACAAATGGTTGCTAATTCGGCCATAACTGTTCTAGAGCAGCAATTGTCAGACTTTTTCTAAAAGGGGCCAGATGGTAAATATTTTAGATTAAGGTGATCCTGTCACAACTACTCACCTCACCTTTGCTGTTTGAGTGCAGAAGCTGCCATAGATAAAATGGAAATGAGTAGGCGTGATTGGGTTCTAATAAAACTTTATAGAAACTAAATTTGAATTTTGTATAATTTTCAGCTATCACTTAGTATCCTTTTTATTATTATTATTTACCATTTAAAAATATGAAAGCATTTTTAGTTTACTGGCCTGTTTTACCCACTTCTGAAGCAGTGGTTCTCAAACTTTAGTAGCATAATCCACCTGGAAGGCTTGTTAAGGCTCAAATTGCAAATTGCTCAAGGGGCCCCACCTCCACAATTTCTGATTCTGTAGGTCTGGGGTAGGGCCCAAGAATTTGTGTTTGTAAGAAGTTTTCAGATGATATTGATGTTGTAGTTCTGTTCAGAACTACTGCATAAGGTTAAATCACTGGTTCTTAATCCTGTCTGCACATGAGGATCACTTGGGGTGAGTTTTTAAAAATCTCATTGCCTAGGCCCCTCCACAGGTTCTGATTCAGTTGGCCTGGAATAGAGCCGTGATTTAGATGTTTTGTAAAAGTGCTCCACATAATTTTAAAGTGCTGTAAGGATTTTGATCTACTATCCTGGAAGGGGAGAGACTTAAATTGGCTTTTATAGCATCCTTCTATAAAACAGGAAGTATACTAAAAATGTAAATTGGATGTTATTTTTAAATGTACATTCATTTGGTTGCGGAACACTATAGAAAACCAAAGGATTTTATGTATTTTTGCATACCTATACACATACATATAATGTATAAACTGATGCAGAGGCCATATCTTCTGTAGTATTATATCGGTAGTTCTTTGTACTGTAAATAGAATGCTAGAATTTTGTGGACAAGGCTTTTTTCTAATAGTGCTGAAAGTCAGAAAAATAATCCACATAGAGGATTCAAACATCCTATTCTTCCATTCAAGTTTTAAGACCCCCATATACAGGTCACACCATTACAATATTATTGTAATAATATTTAAAAATAATAAAAATCATTAGATGAAATTCTGTTAATTTTCAGTGTCATTTTCAACAGTTCAAATAGTTTGAAATATTTACATTATATTAATAAAGATATTGAGCTAGATTTTATTAATGGTTTTATGTTTTATACTATCATTCAGGTTATCTAGGGAAAAGGCTCCTTGATGACTTAGTTTAATAAGCTAGCAGCTATGTTTTGAAAATAAACTTCTATTTGTTTTTTTTTTTCTTGATCTCCTATACTAAGCCCAAATAACCAAACACACATTAAAAGAATAATTTAAATGATGGGATCATTATTTCTGATACTAATTTGTTACTATTATGGAATAAGCACATTGAAAGATAGAAATTAACTTAGAGCCTAATTTTCATTAATTTGAAATTATGTACTCCCACATAGGGATTACTCAGGCTTCTTGCTACTACTTTCTCTCCATTGAGCAGCTTTTTAAAATTCCATTTCTTTGTGGATGAATAATGTGCCATAAATCTTGAACTTGTTTCCTCAAAACAGAAAATTATTAATAGAGCCCAATCTTTCAGCCATTTTTCAGTAGGGGGATGAATTTGCATTGGTTCAACTAATTCTTCCTGGTCCCTGTCTTTTGAGAAATGTCTGGGATAAAGATACAAGCTCTGCCTATGATACTAAGAAATTGATAAGGCCACACAATGGGACTGGGGCATCAGCTTTCATTCCAGTCACATGAAGACGAGCCATTAGGAGAATGTGGTGGAGCACAAAGCAATTTTTAAGAACATATTTTTATATATTGGTCCAAGATACTGAAATTATATGATTATTTTGTTTTAAAAGTAGATTATCCTAAAAAGTAATTTATAGTTTATAATTCCCACCCATTTTTTTTTCTTTTCTGGTTTTTTTTGTGGAGGGAGGGGTGGTTGAAAAACAGAGAGTGGGTTGAATCAGATTGGAAATAATTAACTTTTTCTTAAGTATTTTTCGTGCCCATTAACATACAGATTTTGAGACTGAGTGTAAAACACTTTACCAGATTTTATTTGTTAGTCTGTGAAACCACAGCTGAAGACCACATGTGAATCTTCCTTTTGGTTAGTTATTTGTTCGACCTATAAATGAAACTCTGGTTGCTTAGGTGCCACCTACCATAAGTAGCCCTCCAACACTTTATTGCCAGCCAGAACCACCAGGGGGCAGTAATTCCTAGATAGTTTCAAATGATTCAGGACCATTAAATCCCAATTGGAGTGAAAGTTATTATGCTCAATACCAATTTATCTTTTTTTCCCCTAGATTAATTTCATTGTTACTGTTAATAGATGACATTGAGTATAAATATTTTAAAAGGGTGAATTTTTTTAATGAAATTAATGCTTGTTTTTTCTTTTTAAACAGGGCAATAAATGTGTTCATAAGTGCCAACCGACTAATTCATCAAACCAACTTAATACTTCAGACCTTCAAAACTGTGGCCTGAAAGTTGTATATGTTAAGAGATGTACTTCTCGGTGGCAGTATTGAACTGCCTTTATCTGTAAATTTTAAAGTTTGACTGTATAAATTATCAGTCCCTCCTGAAGGGATCTAATCCAGGATGTTGAATGGGATTATTGCCATCTTACACCATATTTTTGTAAAATGTAGCTTAATCATAATCTCACACTGAAGATTTTGCATCACTTTTGCTATTATCATTCTTTTAAGAATTATAAGCCAAAAGAATTTACGCCTTAATGTGTCATTATATAACATTCCTTAAAAGAATTGTAAATATTGGTGTTTGTTTCTGACATTTTAACTTGAAAGCGATATGCTGCAAGATAATGTATTTAACAATATTTGGTGGCAAATATTCAATAAATAGTTTACATCTGTTAAACATTTCTTTACTTGAAAAAATGCATATATATGTGTGTATATATGATCAGAAGACCAAGACAGCTTGGTGTAATGTCTAAAAAACTTCTAACGGGAGGTTATTAGCAGTTTATCAAATAATAAAGCAACAAGAATTCCTATTTTTTGTCCTTAATCACTTTAGGGAAAAGTAGTCAATGGAAATATTTTTGTTAGTTATTACATAATGAAGTACTGAATATTTTTACATTATTTGCACCCTATTTTAAGAGACTTATGAGATTGAGATGGCAACTTGTAGTATATTCAGACTATAATACCACTTTTTAAACTGTGGCAATGTACATTTGAATCTGAAAAATTAAGTGTTTCTGGTATGCTGGGCCCTAATAAGCTTTGCACAGTTTTTTCTCCAAAATAGCCTCAATTAATAGTAATTTGAAACTATTCCAGTAATTGGTTTGAAATTGTCATAAGTGTTAATATTCTACACACTTTTAAAATATGTACAGTTTTATTTCACCATAGAGAAGTTTTAAGGAAACTATATAAGTATTCATGTTAAGTGATTTTGTTTTTCAAGCATAAAATAAAGGGAAAATCAGAATTTATTTATCTTTTATAAAGATTTTAAATGTTGAACTAAATTTCTGTTGGAAGTATAATTTTTTTTGCTGTAAATGCAATTATTTTAGTTATTTTTTCTCCATTTTAAAAAAATCAATTTTTAAAGAATTACTATCATTGGCAACATAAAAGTAAATCATCCTGTTAAATGTAAGCAGGGACATTGAGAGAAGCAAAAAACCAATAGAAAATTGTATGAAATTTCATAATTCATTGACATTTTACTGACTTAATTTTTTTTTTCTTCAAAGATACATAGCCAGTAAAACAAGTAGAATTGGTAATCTTTACTATTTATTTTTGGCATAAACTGTCATTTACTCTTGGAAGTAGATCGATGATCATTTGCATAATAGATTTGTGAATATATGAAGGAAAAAGATACTGTTTTATTTGCAGCAGACTCTTCTAACATAAACCAAATACTATCATCATCCCTACTCTTGTCTTTATTCTCCTTAAAAGAACTCACCAGTTACCAGGCATGCCTCAAATCACCTGTTTTTATTAGTATTCTATCTTTTCATTCTACTATCCAATATTTCTAGCTTAAATTTTCATGAAATATACCTCCAAAAAGGAGGCTTATTCTCAGCATTCTTTAGTTTCTTATCCTTCCAGCAGAACTCATTTTGTCTCAATGAAGAAAAGGCCAGTGTGGCCACATTCAGATACATCTCCAGAGAACAGGAAAGTGGCTTCAGAGGAAAGGAAGAGGAGACCATTTGTTGTGCACCTTCTCTGTGTCGGGCACTATTCTAGATAGATTTATATAATTCTCTTAACAGTCTTGTGACTTAGCTATCCGCCTTGCAATTGAGGAAACAGAGAGCTTCGGTCACACAGTTGGTAACTGCTAGTGCCAGGGTTTAAATTCATTGGTGTCCAGATACCATCTCTTTCCACTGAACTGTTCATTGCCAAAAATACACCTTGTTTAGGATACTAGTTCTCAAACACCTGTGTGACACACCTCTCTCTTTTGTCCACAGGAAAATGAGACTAATTAGGACAATGATTTTTTTTCATAAATCTAAATTTATTCATTTTAAAGGATTATTCTTTATTTGGATATTGGATATTTAAAATGCCTTCTCACACTTTTTTTTAAATCAATATGATCTATGGTGGTTTTTTTAATGATTGCACTTTAATAACCTTATTGAGCAAAACAAGGTTGGCAACCCAATATTAGTCCCTTCTAATTGTTTTTTATAAACTTTTTATGTGGAAATAATTTCAAATAGGAGATTTGAAAAAATAGTACAAAGAAATCCATATTCCTTTTACTCAGATTTACCTATTGTTCAAATTTTACCCTCTTAGTTTTATCATTTACTTGTTCCCTTGCCCTCCCTTAAGACTCCTTCACTCTGGATCATTTCCGTAGCCATCTTTGTCTTTCATGACATTGACATGATTTTGAAGACTATAATCTTCTCTCCCCTTGCCCTTCCTTTTTAATAGAATGTTTCTCGTTTTGCGTTTCCTCGTGATTAGATTGAAGTTATGCATTCTTGGTCAGAATACTGCATTGATAGTACAGCATCATCAGGGCATGACATGGGGGCACACAGTGCCCATCTTATTGGTGATGCTGGTTTTGGTCACCTGACCAAGGTGGTGTTCAGTTTCTTCAATGTATAGTTTTTATTTTTTACCTTGTAACTAATAAACAATCTGTGGAAGACTCTTTTAAGTCCATGCTAACATTTTCCCTCAGGATTTAGCATCCATTTATGATTCTTGCTTATTCATTCTTGTCTTTGGTAGTTGCAAGATGGTGATTTTCCAACTTCAGTATCATTTCCACATGCACCAGTTTGCAGTCAGCATTCTAGTGTAAGTAGGAGCCCTCTTTCTTTTGATCCATCCATCCATTCATCCATATATCTGTAGCCACCGAAGTTCTTATGTCTGTTATTGTTATATACTCATGCTTTTCTATTTTTTTCCCAGTGGTTTTTAATTCATCACTTTGGTGCACAAATTGTCTTAAATTTGACCAACAGGAACTCCTTCAAGCTGGCTCTTGTGTTCTTGTCATCCTTATCATTTTGTTTAAAGCACTTATTATCTTACATGAAAGATATTCCAAGATCTGGAATCAGCAATTTCTCCATAGGACCCTAAGGAATGACATTAGATACCAAGCTCTGGATGCTGGGTCTGCTCATTGCTACAGGGCGTTTGCTTCTAGGCTGTTCAGCAGACAGAACTAGAAAATGTCATGTATGTGTGTATAGTCAGACCTCTGTATCCATGGATTCCACATCTGTGGGTTCTGCATCTCTGGATTCAACTGACGGGGGATTGAAAATATTCAGAAAAAAATTAAAAATACAATAATAACAAAATATGGCATAACAACTAATTACATAATATTTACATTGTATTCGATATTATAAGTAATCTAAAGACTAAAATATGTGGGGGGGATGTGTATAGGTTATAGGCAGATACCATGTCATTTTATTTAAGGGACTTGAGTATCTGGACTTTGGTATCCCATGGGTCCTGGAACCAATCCCCACAGGTACCAAAGGATGACTGTGCATAAACACAAATAATGTGTGTACGCTACATTTACATGTTCTCATAAGCACTTATGTTTGCTTTTAGAAATCATGAGTTTACACCAATACCTCCAATTGCAATCCATTCTCACGGGGTTCTTTCTCAGCTCCCCCATTCCATATTTCTGTGTCCCTTCCTCAAACTCCTGGATCCCCCAATAATCGATTTATTTACTCTCCCAATCCTGTAATATATCTAAAATGGTTTTAGGATTGCTTTTTCCCATGTCACTGAAAAGCAAGATTTGCTTACAGTTCTCACCCAACCTGTACCCTGCCTCAAAGTAAGGATAACGGTTACATTGTGTGCTTATATAGATTACCTGGATTCTTTTTCTCCCCCTCCTTCACTGTGATTTATGTTTTCTATTTGAAATACAATTGAGTTCATTTTTCAGTTTGCCTTCAGATTAAGGTTCTCCCAGCTTCTTCCCATCCTTGTTGATTTAATTTTATTTTTAAAATATGTAGAACCTTAACGTGCTTCTAGAAGTCAGAACTATACCAAAACACATACTCAGAGAAGTTTAACTTTCTCTCATATCCCTTCTGCCCCATTCCACATGCCTTGCAGGTGTCAAAGTTAACTGTTTTTTTCTTTTTCTTTCTTTTTTTTAATAAAGGAAAACAATAAATGTAGGTTTTCTGTTTTTCCCATTCTTACACAAAAGGTAGTGTACCTGAAGGGAAACCAACCATCCCAATTTGCCTAGGACCGAGAGGCTTCTCAGGACACAGAACTTCTTAGTGTCAAAACAGGGGCAATCAGGCAAACTGGGATGGTTGGTCACCTTACATACATGGTCTTTTTAAAAAAAGTTTTATTGATGCATACTTTACATATTAGATTAACGTGTCCTTTTTTAAAAAAAAACTTCATTGAGGTATAATTTTTTTTTTTTTTTTTATTCCAGGGTTTTGTGAGGGTACAAACATTATAGTTACACTTTATGTCTTTGCCTCACCCAAATGCGGGTTAAAGGCATGCCCTTCCCTCCCTTTAGTGCTCCCCGTGTCCTTTAGTTGTAGATTTGCCCCCTCATCCCCCTAATCCCTAGAGAGTATTTCTGCCATGTGATCAACCTAGTGTTGATCAGTTAGTACCAATTTGATGGTGAGTACAAAATTTACCCATCTTAAGTGTACTATTTAATTATATTTAATAAATTTAGAGCTGTGCAACCTGACCACGATCCAGTTTTAGAATATTTCCATAATTCCCATGAAATCCCTCATGCCCAGTTACAGTTCATCCTTGTTCCCACTTCTAGCTCCAGACAACCACTAGCTACTTTTGGTCCTTTTCTGGACATTTCTTATAAACAGAATCATACAATATGTTGTCTTTTGAGTCTGACTTTTGCATAGTATAATGTTTTCGAGCTTCATCCATGTCATGGCATATATAGGCATATCTGTCAGCATTCTTATTGCTGAATAGTATTCCGTTACAATATTTTGTTCATCCATGTAATAGTTGATGGACATTTGGATTACTTCCATATTTTTGGCTATAGTGCATAGTGCCGCTGTGAATATTCATATGCAAGTCTTTTTTTCTGGACATAGATTTTCATTTTGGGGTAAATATCCAGGAGTGGAATTGCTGGGTTGTACGGTAAATTTATATTTAACCTTTTAAGAAACTGCCAAACTATTTTCCAAGTGGCTGTACCATTTTACATTACCAGCAGTGTATGAGGGTTTCCTGTTTCCTCTACATCCGTATCATTTGTTAAAATTACAGACATTCTAGTAAGTGTGAGGTGGTATCTCATTGTAGTTTTAATTGGATGTTGAGCATCTATTTATGTGCTTATT